TCCACCGCTGACACCACGGCCACTGGCTGGGTATCATCGGGTGCCACCAGCATAGCGGGGGGTGACCCTCCACCTCGGCTGCATCTGCCAGGCTGGCCACAAGCTCTGGGCCCTCCTCTGAGTCTGCCACTTGCAGGATCTCGTCGGCTGGGGCAGGTGCGGGAGGTGCGCTGCTGGCCAGTGCCAGAGCGTGCGCCGCCGCCGGGGAGGCCTCCACCACCTCGCTCATCACGGCGGCAGCAGGCTGCTGCGCAGCCATCTCGTCTGCCACCGCCGGGCCTGCACACGCAGCGGGAGAAGGAGGGGTGGGACGTGAGCAGAGGCCAGCGAGCGGAGTCTGGTAGCGGGCGGCAGGGCGGGCAGGCGGGCCTGTGTGGGGAGGTGTGCACCGTCAGCCTATCATCTTGCACGAACAGCAGAAGCGCGTGCGATTCAGAGATCGGATAACTCCTGAAAGCCTCACCTGAGATCGCCATCTGCATCGCGGCGACTCCAGCCAGGAGGGTCGAGGAGGCGCCGAGCTTGGGGCGGTCGCCGCTGGCGTGCGCCTGCACCACGGGCAGCGGGAGGGTGGTAGTTGGGGACGGCGCGCTGGATGGCTTGCGGCCGCTCAGAATCGACACCCAGTATCGGTTTGCGATTCACGGGAAGGGCAGTTGGGGCGTAGTAGGAGGACCAACACTGGCCTTCCGAATGGCGGCCATGGCCCAATGCCGGACTGGTCGTCGCCTGCCACCCTCACCTCACGGGTCTTGGCGATCGGCCGACGCAGCCTCTGAGCGCTGGCGACCACCGCGAGCGAGGTGCGAGGCGTGGAAGGTGCTGCACGCATGGACTGCATCTCTTGGATATAGAGTTGGGGTGGGCGGAGGGGGAGGATTCACTGCACAAGGAACAATCCAGTTGCGCGATCGCAGTGCTTTAAGGCAATAGGAGGGATGCCAACCTACTCTACAACCTCCTGAAGGCCAATGCAGGTGGAGGCTGCACAGCGGTCACAGCGTGAGCAGGATGCGGTAGCCTGGGTCTGTGCCTGGCATGACCTGTGGGCTGGCAACACTCCCCCAACAGCGCCGACAACCAAGAATGGTCAGGTGCCATGTTACAATGAGGTCGGCATGCTGGGGAGTGCAGCAGCACAGCCGTGATGGTGGGAGCAGCGGAGCAAATGGCGGCAAAGGCAAAAGGAAGAGCTGAACAGTGGAGCAACATGCCTGGCGCTGGGCGTCCCAGGCGCCGGTGAAAGGCCTGGCCAAGCTGCCAGGAGAGAGCCAGGCCCTGGCAAGCCGCCGAGACAGTGGCTGCGTCAGCCGATCCAGCGGCGGCCAGCCGTGCGGGGTCCCGGGCGCCACCAGAGGTCGCTCATGAGGCAGCTCATCTACTTGGGGTTGCGCAGCACAAGGATGACAGAGTCGCCTCGGAGGAACATCTTGCTGCAGCATGGGGGAGCGAGGGCAGGCGGGGTGAGCGCGGCTGGCCCCAGCAACTGAAAGCGGCAGCGGCGGCAGGCGGCACAGCCCCACCTGATGAACCGGTCCTTGTTGACGGGCTTGGAGGCCTTGGCGCCCTTGCCGCGCTTGGGGATCTGCGGCGGTGGACAGGCGCGCGATGGCGCCGCAGTGAGCATGGCGCAGGCACGTGGCGGCGGCGCCATATGGCACGCGCAAGCAGCGACGCCGGGCAGGCAGCAGCAGCCACGGTTTCTATAGGCACGGCAGCACACGCCTGCTGCTGTCGCCATCCCCACCCCAGCCCCGCACCTCTGTCCAAAACTCCTTCACATTCTCCAGCACCATGTTGCAGTGGCGGTCAAAGGCCTTGACCCGCCCCAGCAGCTTGCGGTTGTTTCTGCAGTTGATCAGCACCTGCACGCAGGCGACACGCAGGCAGCGCTCGGACGTTTGGCAGCCCCCTCAGCGGCAGCACGGACAGCCTAGCCTGGCTGTGCGCCTGCCATCCACCGCGGCACCGCACGGCAAGCGCCCGGGCGGCATGTTGGGTGGCTGCAACCCTCCCCGGGCACGCCCTGCTGCCGGGCCCAGCCTCTGCGCGGGCCGAGCATGCCTGCGAGTTTGTCTTGACGCTCATGGTGAGCACCGAGAGCGGCCCCGTGCGGAACAGGTCCTCCTCCTTCTTCTCCAGCTCATCCACCGACGGCTGCGCTGCCGTCGCCGCCGCCATGCTGGCTGTTGCTGCTGCTCTGCACCCAACAAGCAGGGAACGGGTGGGGGCTGTCAGCAGGCCGGCGACGCAGCGGCGGAGGCAACGTGCGGAAGGCGGTGGGCGGCAGCCAAGCAGCATCTGGCGGGCGCAGGCCGGCGGTGCCGCTGCGGCACGACGCCTCCGGGCCAAAGGTTCAATCCGTGCGCCGGCGTGCGGTGATGCAGCATGAAAGCAGGGAGCGGCCTGCTTTCAGCCGCTGGGGGCTTGCAGCGGGCCAGGCGGGCTTCAAGAGGGGTGCAACGGACATGCACAGCTCAGCTCACCGCTCAGAGAGGGGCGGGGCGCAGGATGGTCGCCGCAATCAGGGGACTCGGGCAGGAGTGGCGTTGAGAGGGCTTCTGACAGGGTGTGCAGATCTGGAATGAAGCAATTTGGGCGATGGAGCGGGGCAAGGCGTTCGGGACTGGACTGAGGGTACATGTGTACCGCGCG